CTGCATTTAGGGCCTGATTCTGCTTCCAATGAATTCAATGGGAAAGTTCCCAGTGACATCAGTTGTGTAGATTCCCAGTGCAATTGAGATCAGAAATTGTCCCACTGGTTTCAGTTGGAGTCGCACGTGCTTATATCAGGGTTGACTTGTTTCATAATCCTTTGTGGGTGCCATAACAGTCATGGCCATGTTATTTACTTGTGTGAACTTATGATTGAGTATAATGACTTCAAGTGAGCAATAAGTACCAGGAGCAGCTGAAATCCTAATCAACAAAGATTTTATTTTCATGCAGCTGTCCCTAGAATTGAAAAACAGATGGAAAAAAATATAGAAAATGTAGGCGGTTGAGTAGAGAGAGAAATGCTTTCCATAAGGTGTCAGCAGCTCTTCAATTTAAAAAACATTATTTTAGATGATTAGAACAAATAATCAGAAAAATTAAACCTTTTAAACAAACTGCAGTTATGGCTCATCTTCAAAATGATTCTTGCTGGCTCCATTCCTCCTGCAAGCGCCAGTTCTCCTGTACCCTGGATGGCAAGAACTGTCAGCCTGATCCTATTCTCCTGGAGAGAGATTCTTCCAGCCTGATCCTCATTTAGGGTTTTTGTTAACGTGCCATTATCAAACAGCAGTCTTTCCATGCACATGTATTACTATGCACTTCCAGGAGAAGATACTGCTGCGTGCTTAATGCCTGCCACATATAACTAAACTCTGCTGTTTCTGTCCCTCAGCTTCTCCCCCATCTTTTTCTCATATCCTCTACTCTGCAGCCTGATCTTCCATATACACCAGAACAGACAGATGCCTAAGGCAGCAAAATAATCCGGGCAGCCAAATACTTAGTGGCTGTTTCTTGTCAGTGAGTAGGGGCTTAAAGGGGCATACATTTCCCTGCCTGCCTTTATCAGCCAAACACTAAAAGCTGGTGCCTTCTACTCTGACAATTACCACACTTTTTTTTTAATCAGATTACACTACTCAGTTTATTTAGGGGCAGGTTGTGGCCTGACCCTACAGGACTGCATGGAGGCCTGTAAGAGAGTAAGATCCCCCACCCTCCTACATCTTCATGGCTTTCCTAGAATCCATCTCCAACATTTGGCTGCTCAACTGGTATTTCCCTCCTCACCTTTGCAGATGGATGGGAAATATGCAGAGCCTTGGTTCTCTCCCTCAGGTGCTAGAAGGGGGAATTGAAATTTCCGGATGGATAGTAGGATTTTCCTGCCAAAAGCCTGTTCCCTTCACTTCTCATCATGGAATCTTGTCAACACATTCCTTAAGAGAACTGGTGTTTCTGCAACTGGATTGGAGTGATGTGCTTGAGAATCATACAGTTACAATTATTGCTTACTTTAAACTCTATGGCCTTCTCCTTAAAGAGAAGAATAATTTTGAAGTAGAGAAGCTGAGGCGCTTGATACTTAAAAAGTATCAGTATTTCCTATAAGCAAAAATAAAAGGACAGGATTAAATCCATTGGTGGCCATGAGAAATTATACAAGCAGTCCTTAAACAGAGCATTGAAATGTGTCTATGACTGTGCACAGTCAGAAACGCAGGGCGAGAAGACACCTAATGAAGCCATCTAGTCTATCCCTCTGTGTCAAGGCAGAGTTAAGTGTACCTAGATCATTCCTGACAGATGTGTGTCTAACCTGTTTGTGAAAAGCTCCAAGAAGGATTCCACAACCTCCCTAGGTAACCTGGTCCAGTGGTTAACTATTCTTATGGTTTGAAAGTTTTTCCTAATATCTAACTTAAATCTCCCTTGCTGCAAACTAAACTGATTACTTCTTGTCCTACCTTCTGTGGACATGGACAATGATTAATCTCTGTCCTCTTTATAACAACCTTTTACATATTTGAAGATGTTACATCCATTCTCAGTCTTCTCTTCTCTAGACTAAGCAAGCCTAATTCTTTCACATTTTCCCTATGTTTACTTAATTTTTTTTATTTTTGCTCTCCTCTGGAGTGTCTCCAGTTGTCCACATCTTTCTGAAAGTATGGTACCCAAAACTGGACTCTCCAGCTAACGCCTCACTAGTGCCGAGTAGAGTGGAACAATTACTTCCCATGGCTTAAATATAGCACACCTGTTAATACAACCCAGAGTGACATTTGCCTTTTTTCCAGCAGCATCACACTGTTGACTCTCATTTAATTTGTAATCCACTAAAAGCCCCTTTTCTGCAGTACCGCTGCCTAACTAGTCATACTACATGTTGTATTTGTGTATTTGATTTTTCCTTCCTAAGTGCAGAACTTTACACTTGTCATTATTGAATTTCATATTAGTGTTTTCAGATTAATTATCCAACTTATTAAGATCATTTTGAATTCTAATCCTCTCTCCTGTTGTAGTAGAATATTGCTAAAAACTGTTAACTTCAACAACACAGGTGAACCAGTTTTGTTTCAGTACATAAACAGAAAGATGCAACTAATGTAGGCCCAATCCCATATCACTTCTGCAGATAAATCTAGAGGAATCGATGCACACTTGAAATTTTGCCAAGGAGCAGAAATGTAATAACAGAAGGCTCTGACTGCCTACCAGTTAAATTTTCCAAACAAGATCTATATTTCTCTATGGAAATTCTCTTCAATCTGCTAACAGAATTGCTGGGCTGGGGAGTGGCCAAAAATTAGAAACCATACTGGACAGGGCTCTTAATTGGGTCTCTGGTGACAGACAGCTACAGATTATCTTTTGCTTTTTGAAGTAAATACAAATCATGTCCTTCCTCCTGACATTGCCAGCTAAGGATCTGATTGTGCAAGCCTTATTCATATTGGTGAAGTCTTATTTAGGCGAGCACCGGGTATGTATGTCTACAATGCAGCTAGGAGAGAGCCTCCCAGCCCGGATAGACAGACCTGCACTAGCTCTGCTCCAGCTAGCATACTAAAAATAGCAATGTGGACATTGTGGGATGGGCAGTGGCTTGGGCTAGCCACCAGAGCTCAGATCCAGGGTGTTGGGTGGGCTTGGATTTGGGTGGCTAGCCTGAGCTGCTGCCCATGCAATGTCCACACTGCTATTTTTAGCACTCTAGCTCAAGCAGACCAAGTGCAAGTCCATCTACTTGGGCTGGGAGGCACGCTTCCAGCTGTAGTGTAGACATACTCTTTGAAGTCAATAGGGCTACTTGCATGAGTCCATGTTCACTGGTTTGAGAAAAGGTTGCACAGAGCCCTTAGTGTCTCATCATCAGTTTCTCAATTTTTCTCAAGTTTTCAGTACTGTTTTTTGAATATGTAAAAATGAAATTAAAAACAAATCTAAAAGTTCAGAAATTAAGAGTCTGTCTATATGAAACGCTATCCTTTTATTCCTCCAACCTCTCTCTCCTCTACTTACTCTCACCCTTTCATTTGTCCTTTCTTTCTGTCTTTTCATTTTTTAGATGAGTTAGGAGTTCATAAACTCATACTGTGATAAATGCCCTGATCCACCAAAGCACTGAAGCACATGCTTGACTCCAGTGGGAGTGCTCGTGTACGGAGTGCTTTGCTGAAACAGGGCCTAACCTCTCTAAATAAAAAGTAGTATTTTAAAGCTTCTGTGGAAATCTCTGGCCAGCCTGATATTTTTGGTTTAATAAAAATGGGAAGGGCATCGAAGATGGAAGTGGATTCAGTGTTCCTCCGGCATTATAGCTGTGAAATAAAATCCACTTTTACATTTAGATCATGATTTACATAAACGTATGCTCTTACGGAGAGTGAAGTGTATTCAGGATCTCTCAAATTCTGTGTCCAAGAATGGATTCTTTGGGCTCCTAATACTTCTGTACTCTCACCCTTGCTGCAGAGATTGGCTCTGAAGTGGTGCAGAATTTTCAGGACTCTGGATATATCTCATGAGCCCCAAACAGGTGAAAATGACATATGTATCTCATTCAAAGGGTGATAAACTATCTTTTGTTTGTCACATCCTGGCATTTCCCTTATGTTTGGTTTTAAAATGATGTTGACATCTAGAGATTCTAATCAGAGTCCCAGGGATTAAAAACAAATAAAATAAATATTTCATTTTACACTTTTATGTCCATCCAAATGAACCAGAATTTAAGTAATCTTTGTCTTGTAATATTTAAGCATCTATAAATGTTTGAAATGATTTGCACAAATATTTCATATTTGAAATCCCAGTGCACCCTGCCATTTGCACCGTAATTCAAATTTGTATGGCCGAGATGGCTAGTAAATAGCTGCAGAGCAAGGTATTGCAGCATGGTTGCTTATAATATTGGTATTGTGTATATATGTGGACCGTAGGTGCTGTAGTTCTTACTCAGGCAAAACTCCTATTGAACTAAATGGGAACTTTGCCTGAATAGAGACAGCAGGAGTGAGACCACAGATTGTGCCATGATACAGCTCCTCATCACGTTGCATACCAAGCATACAGAGAGGCAGTGTGGACTAGGACTCAGGAAACCTGGTTTCTATTTCCAGCTCTCCTACGGGCTGTCTTGGAAAAGTCACTCTACTTTTCTTTGCCTCGGTTTCTTCTCCCACTCTTTGTCCATTTTGTCTGTTTAGACAGTAAGCTGTTTTGAGGCAGGGTCTGTCTCTTACTATGGGTTCATTCAGAGCTTAGCACAATAGGACCCTTTTTAGTTGGGGCTTCTAGGCATTACTGCAATACAGAATAACAATAATTAATACAAAATAAACAAAGATATATTTCAAGAGTTTCTCTTCAGAAAAGGATTGGCTCCTAACTACTTAGGGCCAAATCCTGTTAGATGCTGACTTTAATAAGAGTGGAGGATGCTTAGCAACTCACAGGATTGGACCCTTAAGGTCTGAGCCGAAGCCCGCTGAAATCAACTTCAGCAGGTTTTGGATAAGCTACTAAAGGGTAAATGTTACATTCAGGCCCTCTTGTCTCAAGTAACATTGCTATCTTATTTTCAATAATATAAATTGATTTTCTTGAATTTCATTCATCATTTACACATGTATTTCATTCACAGATTGTACTCGGATTATCTGTACTTTGCAAGTGCGAATAAATCCGCAGAAGACTTTCATGAAAAAGTGGCAGATTCCCTGCAGCTGTTTGAAAATTGCATGCTGGATTACTCACTGAGAGCCTGTGTCTACAACAACACTCTTAACAATGCCATGCCTGTATGTATTTCCAGTAACATTTTGATTCCTTGCTTAACAATAGAACATTTTGTCTGGATTATTAAAATACCAGGATCCTTAGCAAACTATTAATAATAATTATAATTATAATCAAGATGTGGTTCAGTTTGTGACTACCAACAAACTTTCCTCCTTTTTTTTTTTTTAAGTTGGTGACATAAAAATATATTCATACATGTAAAAACTGATGTGCTGGCTTAGCTGTCTCTTCAGTCTGTTCCCTGATGAGCGCCAGCAGTAAAAATACATTGGTTCTCGTGGGCAGGAGCATGAAGAACACATTTAGCAAAGATTACAGTTTAATCTTCACTTGCAAACCTATCCAAAAAATAGCTCTGGCAAAGATAAGGCAATTTCCGAACTGCAAGTAAGAATACATCATTTATGCTGGATTTTTTTTTCCCAGGAAAAGGCTATTGATAGCTAGATTAAATGTGCTCTCTCTCACGCTTTTTTAAAACTGTGCACAGCAGAAAAGGGCTGAATCTCAGTGTGCTTGGTCCAAAATCCACATTTTTAGTGTTGATTTGTTTCTATATTTTGTTTGAGGGTGAAAAAAGGGTTTTTGCAAATATCTATCTATCTAGAGATACATAGCAGTATCTCATGTTTACTATGGGATGCATTTGTAAAGCACCAGGTGTGTGTGATCTAGCCCTTTACCTCCCATTTTCTTGATTTGGGTGGAAGGACACTTTACTCCTCCTCTCTCTCCAGATTACAGTAAATTTCATCTCATCATCATTTCCTCCAGTTACTAAAGTAACCTCAGAGGAAATCATGTATCATAGGCCCAAGCCAAAGCCCATTGAAGTCAGTGAGAGTCTTTCCAGTACTGGGAATGGGAATCAAGCCCCATGTTCCTTACTGTTGCTGTTCTCGTCATCCAGAAATGGAAGTTGAAAGAGACACAGAATAGCCTTTTTTTTTATCTAAAGTGAATTTTGTAATGTGGTATTACACCAGCAGGGGTTCGGCTCTAGTGGCTACAGTTTCAAGCTCAACAGAAAGAAAGTCACCTCTGCTACTTGTTTCAGATTTAGTCTCTAGGAACACATAAAGACCAAGGATCTGGACCACTCCCACATTTACAAGTACAAGGTCTAGTTTGTTTTACAAATTTTATTCAAGTTAAAACTAAAGTTATGATTACTCATGCATATAAAAATTCTATAAAGACCTCTGCACAAGTTATAAATATAGCTATACTCACATCCTTAATGATATTCTTACGGTCTGATGGCTGCCTTGCCAGTTGATCATTTAGTAGCGAGATGGTTCCTGCTGGAGTTTTCCCATAGGGAGCTCAGTTTTCCTGGTCTGGACACCCTCTTTTTATAATGAGATTCTGACTATACCTCATTAGTATTTATGCGCATAGTGTACCCTGCAGCTAAGGCATGTATTAGAAAAATATGACTACTGGGTATCTTGTAAGCAAAACATTTTGCTGTTAATTTTTCACAGTATCACAGTATCTTTGGTCACTTACTTATGCCAAGCATTTCTTAAGCCTATGGCCTAGTATGGCTAAGATGACATCTTACAGGTCTCAGCCTGTAGGCCTTGTGTTTCAGCCCTACATACTTAGATACCTAATACATAATTATCACTTCTAACTACTGATCCATCTTGTACTTCTATAATCCTACAACTTAACTCTATTTATCATACAATGATTATATATGACATGACATATATTAGTTAAACATAACATCGCACAATAAATGAACAAAAAAACTGTCTCCCTTGCACAAATGTAGTTGCATTGTGGCATGAATACACTTGCTCAGACCCCTCGTATTCCCCCAGGTGCCTAGACCATCATCATTTGTCCCACAGTTTATTCCTCTTCTTAGACAGCACCTTGAAGAAGGTACTTCTGAAAATTAACTCATTGTTCTTTCTTTTGAGATCATTTATATTTCCAGAAAGCTACCAATGGGTATCCTTAATAAAGCATGGAATGCCAGCTAGGCTCCTGAATGGACTTTTCAGCTTCCTCTCAGGCATAGCTGGCAAAGTCTATATATGTGTAATTTGTTATATATTGAAAGACTAGATTTTTTTTCTATGACCTTGGATGTTAGATCAGTAGCTGTGTGACTACAGCAGAAAAAAAGTACTCCTAAGAGACCAGAAGAAAAAGTAGCATAGCGATTGCCACTGCTGATAAGTAACCCTCTGTACAGAGAAGGGGCGTTCGTCAATTTATCTTCACTTACCATCAATAGAAAGTATATTAACCAAAGAAAGGGAAGGAGAGCCAGGGGTGTCAAACTAAAATTGGAGAGACTGCAGTCAGGGAGGATTCTTTGGAAAATGCTCAGTTGCACTGCATAATTTATAGGGGGAAAGCAAATGACTTTCCTGAAAAGGGGATTTTGTTTTGGAACAACAGTGGCAAAACACAGGCCTGTATATCATGCCATTTTTTCAGATGTCCAAAAAGAAGTGAAGGTGACTATCCTGGGCAACAAAGGGACTTTATGTTTGAAGTTCTTACTGGATTAAGTGAGTGTTAATTCTATCCCAGAATTCTCTGTTTGGGTAGAAGCTCAGTAATGCTATAAAATACAGTATCCCAACCTACATTACACAACTGATACTGGTTTCTTACTTGCCCCAGTACCATCCTGTTGGGAGAAAGAGGAATAAAGATGAGGAATACACGTAGATGATTTGCTGTATGATTGTACAGTGCCTAGAATAATGTGGCTCTGATCCTGTAATACTGCAATATGTGAGGCTAATAGTTAAAATAAATTATTTACAGCTTATAGCTCTGGCATGTAATGGTGGTGGTGGGGATACTTTCCTAAATTTTTGCATTATATACAATATGTACCTAAGGAATTTTGCTGCATAGGTTACCCTGTAACTCACAAGCAGCCCAAAACTAATGTCAGGTCACAGTTTCTAAGATAACCATAATTATTAGATTGTAAGATTTTTGGGAAAGGAACTGTCTTCTATTGTATGTTTGTTCAGTACCTGGCATAATGGTTTGTAATGATCATGATTATACCTCTGGGTCAGGTCAGATGGCTACAGGAGTGTGATAGAAGGTAGATACATTAGCCCTAGGTTAAGCAGGTCCCTTTTCCCTGAGTAAGATAATGGGCTGTTCCAGAATAATCAGGAAGTTGCTGGAACCAATTATGGCAGGCAGGCTAATTAGGACACCTGGAACCAATTAAGAAGCTACTAGAATCAATTAGGACAGGCAGGCTAATCAGAGCACCTGGGTTAAAAAGGACCTCACTTCAGTTAGTGAGGCGTGCGCAAGAGGGCGCAAGGAGCTGAGAGCGAGAAAGCATACTGCTGGAGGACTGAGGAGTACAAGCGTTATCAGATGTCAGGAGGAAGGTACTGTGGTGAGGATAAAGAAGGTATTGGGAAGAGGCCATGGGGAAGTAGCCCAGGGAGTTGTAGCTGTCACACAGCTGTTACAAAAAACACTGTAGACAGCTGCAATCCACAGGGCCCTGGGCTGGACCCCAGAGTGGAGGGAGGACCCAGGTTCCCCCAATCCCCCCAACTCCCTATTGGATACAGGAGGAGTTGCCCTAGACTGTCCCACCAGAGGGGAAGGTCCCTGGCCTGTCCCCCGACCCACTAGGTGGGCCAGCAGAGACTGCAGAAATTGTTCTCCTTCCTTTTTCCCCTGCTGGCCAGTGATGAGGTCAGCTGAGTGGACGGCAGGTTTGAGCCATAGCAAAAGTGGCCAAACTGAGGGCTGCCGTGAATCTCTGAGGCGAGCAAATCCACCAATAAGCGCAGGACCCACCAAGGCAGAGGAGGAACTTTGTCACATATGGTACAAATAAATAATAATAATACAATGAGTTAATAAACTGTGGGAACTGTTTACTCAGAAAGGAAATATTCCACATAACATCTGAGCCAAGAGTAAGGACTGAATTTGTCGAGAGAACTTTTGAATGTCAGTTTCTAAATCTGTGTGCCCAAAGACTGTTTTGTATGTGCAAACAGCTACTCTAATGCAAATTAAAAGTTTTTCGGCTTGCAAAAACTCAGGTATTAAAACTTAAGTGCCCAAAAATGTAGATGTGCAGTTTTGAAAGTGCATATGCAGAGATTGCTTTGGAAAATTGGCTCTTTAAGTTTGAATAGATTTTGAGTCAGGTTGAATAGATTAGTTTCTCTACTTGTCATCATCTCATAAAAGTAGAAACCAAAATATTCCATTTATGTTCTTGATTTGTAATTGTAATTTAATAACAATGATCGATAATAGTTGGATCAGATTAATGTTCCTTCTATGCTTTACTGGCAATTCAGAAAGCAGAGTGTTTCTTTTCAAATCACATCAATAAACAGGAAGTGTAGGTTGTTTTATAGATTAATTATAATAATCTTTCCATTGCTGTAGTAATGATTCAAAACTTGACTTCTTTCAGCAGTATTTAGGTCATAACTGCAATTACTCAAGTCAACTAAAAGAGCACAAGACATAGTTGTCTGCTTTTGTCAATTCTATGCTGACTGTGACTCCAAGATGTACCAAGCTTCTTTTATCAAAGGCAGGTTTTCACATCCTCTTTTCTGTTTCTGTTTCTGAATGGGTAAAAAAGAAACAAACACAGGTACAAACAGGAACTTGGAGTTTTAAGAAGCCTAAACTGCACCCTTAAATGTTCGTGCAAAATCGAGCAAAAATGGAGACCAGGTTAATGTCAGACTGAAAATTTGTCCCTTCACATAAAAGAGAAGGATCATATTTTCCTCTACAGTATAATACAGTATAAGTCTTCTGTTGAACAGTTAGCCGGTGTACTACTAAATCTATCTAGGTATTTATGCCATGCCCCTAACTTTAGTTTGGTTCTCTAGGAATTACTAATATTGACTAACAGGAGTATAGTTTAATAGTACACAAGTCCTCCGCCATCTTCATTTTAAGATAAGGTTGGTGACCTTTTCCTTCTGGACATTTGTGAGGTTGAATCTGCCAGGCCCAACTGTCCGGTGATCATTCTTCATCAAGCAAAAGATAACAGATTCTAATTGGCTTGAAAAAATGAGGCTTGTGCCATAGTAATTCATGCCATTCTACGGAATAGTCCAACAGCTGAAGGGTGGTGCAGATATTTTGATCATATCAAAACCGAAGAGGTTTTATGGAAGTATTTTCTCTTTGGTATATTCTGTGAGTATAAAGTATCCTTACAGAATGCATGTTTGATAAGAGGAATGAATTGCAACCCCAATACATCATAAGGTTTGTAAGACATTTCTGAAAGGTGCTGAGTGCCTTCAGCTACCATTGTGCACAGATCTGCACCTTTTGGCCCTGATGAAGGTGAGTGTACTTGTACATATGTTTAGCTTTAAACATCTCCATGAATACCTATTCAGTTCAATGGTTGAGGGTCAGAGTGCTCAGCACTTAGCAAGACAGGGCCCTAAGCACCTGGGCTCAGGCCCTTACTGAATTGAGATATAATTTTACAAATCTAGGGGTCCAACTCTGAAGGATTTAATTATGTAAGTAGCCCAACTGAAGTCAATAGCACTGCTTCATGCATAAGAGCTTACATGATCAAGGTTTAAATTTTTTCTAGGCATCATATTTTTAAAATCTTCTAGATCAAATCCAAAATAGATTTTCCTTCCCATGGAGAACAGTGGGTTGAATATTCATTAATTTTGATACAAGATAGAATCAATGAATTAACTCAACTTTTTTGTTTTGTTTTTTGTAGGTGAGGCTACAGGTTGGCCTTTATGTTGTGTATCTCTTGGACTGGCTGACTGTTTTTGACAAGGGTCAGATACTAGTTCTCCGCTTAGAGGATCATGCGTCCAATGTTAAATACACCATGCATATTGTGTTCCAGTTTCTGGATTTAGGTAGGCATCATCTAGCTCTTTGAGTGAAGTGCAAAAGTCATGCTTACATTCTGGATTGTTAATGCTTACGGAGAGACAACATCCAAGATGTGCATCTGTGTTCACAGAGGGGCAAATTGTGCTGTCCTAACTCAAACAAAATTACCATTGGTTCCAAAGCGTGCATTGTTTTCAATGGGAGTTTTGTCTGAGTAAGGACAGTGCAAGAAAGTGTACAAAGAATTAATAACGATGTTATAAAATCAGAAACCTGGTACTTCGTTCATGTGTTTGAGCATGTAGGGCCTGATCCTACTTCTGTTAATGTCAGTGGGAGTTTTTGTCATGAACTGCAGCAGGAGCAAGAGCTGGCCCAAGTGATCTAGACAGCCAGGTGAAATGCTTCAATGGTATGATGTGTTTTGTTGCCAAATCAGCAAATCCAGAATCTGAGTATTATAAAAGGCAGCATTTCTAGGGTCTTGGGGAATATGTTTTGACTGTCATTGACTGAGACATCAGTTGCTGATTGTCAGAACAACATTGGCAGACAGAACAATGCCTGATATTGGGAAGACAGGAGGAGGATGGAGATGTGGCTGCACATTAACCTGGTTGAGTCCAAACATTGGTCTAGGTAATTAGATTTAGCAGATTGGACAGATAAGGAGTCTGGCCCCTGCGCCTCTCATCTAAGTTGCATTGAAAGAGGTCAGTGCTAGCACAATCAGGCCTGCGGTGCACAAGTACCACTCAGGAGGGGTAAAGTTTGCTCCTATACTGAGAGTCGTCATAACACCACTTATCCCACCAAAGTCCTTAAAGAGGACTACAGTCAGAAATAAGTGCTGCACTGTTTAACTGGGTGAAGTTCACCCTGACAGGTATCAGGTGGCTCCTTCATAACATAACAAAAATTAGGAAATAAAATGAAATAATTGTTACCGAAGAATGCACATCAATGGTTATTTTTACTGTCCTATTTGTTTTCTGAAAACACATCTCTACCTCTAGAAATGATTTATGTTGCTTATTGCATGGATGATTAATTGATATGAAAGGAAAACAAAGTATTTCCATGTATTCGAACTGTGATGTATTTTACGAAACTAAACCCGTAGCCAATATTCTGGAACATAACCACTGCTACCAAAATTCCATTAATCTTTTCTTGACAAACCTATTTACTTGTCCATTTACATTCTTTACCATGAACATTTTGGGAAGAAATACATTAAAATAATTTTCTGTTGACTGCAGGGCCTATAAGTGAGAAACAAGAAGCTCTAATTACAAAGAGTCCTGCTTCAAACACTAGACGTCCTGAAGACCGAAATCTGGGACCCATGTTACCAACAACAAAGGCGATTCTAAGAGACTTCTATAGGCCTTTTAATACAAAACTGGCGCAGGTTCTTTTTGATGATGCTTTTTTATGGAAAAAGACATAATATGTAAATTCACTTCCACAAATACAGTGCTTTAAGGAGTTTTTATTTTTTAAAGTCTATTTTTGCGTGCACATTTACATTTTATCCATTCAAGGAGAAGCAAAACTAATGAGATGAGAGTTCTCTTCCATTAGCATACGATATTTCACTGAAGCTAGATCACATTTTCCTCGTGAGAATGTAAAACATCCTGTTTATCAATCTCTTGCCATTTCTTTCCCCCCCAGCAACAGAGCAGTATGGAAATAGCCTTGGAATGAAGGAGTTCTTTTACACTGTCTGACTGTGGTTTTGAAGTTTAATCTTCTCTAAAACAGTACAATACATAATTAGCATTGGTCTCTTAGAACTACACTTATGTCATCACTTTCAAGGTATGTTCTCCCCTCATTCATTCCAAAGTAATAAAAAATATCCATTAGCCATTAAAATCTTTATTTGAATTAAATCCAAAATTCTTTTTTTATAACTACAGTGCATCAACACAGTGCAGAATCACCCAGATTAATGGTATTACCTTACGTTAATTAACTAATCTGATACATTGAAAAGTCACTTGGTTATGTGTTTATATATTACTGCATTTAAGTAATTCCCAAACCTAATTAACTCCTCCAATATGCTACAGTTTGTAGTAAGAGAGGAATTGCATATTCAGTGCAAGAATGAGTAATTTGAAAGTATTAAGTTAAAGAAAAAGCTATTCACTTTTTGGCATAATATAGAATAACAGAAATACACAAGTTTCTATTTGATTTTTTTAATTTTATTTATTTAAATGCACATATGTAGAGTCCACTCATCTACCTATTTTCCCAAGAAACCAATAATGGGTCTCATGTTAAGTCCAGTGATATCAGTGGAAGTCTTTTATTTCAGTGGGATTTGGATCAGGCCCTACATGAATTATTGTGTAGTATTCCATTATAAAGAAACATGTTGATTTTCTGAAACCATTTAAAACTTAATCACTAAATTCATACACTGGTATCATACAGTATCATGCATGACAATATAATGCCTTTCATTCTAGTAGGATAGGTGCAGATAAACTGATGAAGTTGCACAACATTCTTTGTTTAAGTAAGTTCAGCTGCGCAATATTTCATGTTTTTTATTTAAAATACAGCAAGCTATATTCACTTTTTAGTTACACCCACAGAATCTCATTGAAGGTGGAATTTGGCCCAGCATATTCGAACTGTAAAGTTGATTTTAAAAAAAATTAGAGTGGATTATAGCCAAATAAAGACACTTATTTCAGTATAGTTTCTCTCAAGGACTGCGTGATATCTTCACTGAAATGACTCCAAACTGGATCAACTAAAGCTGATGCACCAAAGTCCAAAGAACCAGTTCTAACTAGTATATTGTGCTCTTACTTTTGGATACTGTTATTTTGCTCTTGTGCCTGTGTCCATAGTAGAGCTGGCTGAATAATAATAATAAAAAACAGATGCGCAAACATATTTGCAAATAATTATACTGACTTCACTGCGTTGCTGTCTCTGCAGTCATATTTATTATTTACCACCTCTCCCTTGACTGACACATAGTGTGGAAATTGTTCACAAATTCTGAACATTTCACAAATGAAAATTCATGTCAGAAGTTCATCATTGGGTATTCACTATTTGCAAATCTCCTGTTTAAAAAGATTCAGTCATCCAATCTGAGAGCAGAAAAAATACCATGGGATTCAGGTGACCCATTCTCACAGCGCAAATGTTAATAGTTTAGAGACAAGTTGGGAGAAGTAATATCTTCTATTGGACCAACTTCTGCTGGTGAAAGAGACCAGCTTAAACAGAGCTCTTCTTTAGGTCACAAACATTTTATATTCAAAATTGTTCATGAGAACTATTCAATTAATACTTATGATATTTGACACATTTGCTGAAATCAGAATTGATTCAAACATTCTGTGAACAGAAATAAGGTCTAAACTTTCAACAAATATTATTTACATTGAATAATGTGGTCAGCCCTATTGTATACCAGAATCAGTAGTCAGGAAAGGTGGATGAAAACTACCAAAAACATTTTTCTGTGGGAGTTCACTGTACTGGTTTGTTTTCTCTGGTTTCCATTCAGTTGTCAATAGCACAGATCCTGAACTGGTGGTACAGATTCACCAGTGATAAATGCTAAAGATATTTTTGTTAGCACTTTGTATCAGGAATGACTGTGACCAAATTGCATTGAGCTAGAATTGTACAGCATTCATCCATGTTGAGCAGCGCTAGCTCACATAAATAGTCCCATTGAATTCAGTGGTTGCAAAGGGTTGTGGGCGGGAGGCAGTTAGGGCCCCAGGTGGCTGTTACACCCAGTGGTTCATCTCTGGTGACAACCTCGCCTTGTGAGTGCAGTCCACAAACAGCAGCTTTGCCTAATGGATACAGTTTTTGGCGGCAACCCCACCTAGTGGGTTCAGTTTCCAGGCAGCAGCTCCACCGAATGGGTACAATTCTTGGTGAGGGAAGAGGAACACGGGCCCTCCCGCTCCACCAGGTTCTACCTTCACTCACCCTGTGGTATCTTGTGTCAGCCTCAAGTCAGCTTCCCTGGGTCGCTTCCTGCCTCCTTCTGTATTCCAGCTGGCCGTCGTCCGTCCTTGGGGAACGCTGCGTTCCAGGCTTCCTGCCCTAGTTCCAGTCTGTGGGGCATAGCCCGAATCACAGTCTAACCTTTAGCGATCAACACTTTTGTATTAAGACTTATTTGCCCCCAGCACCATGCTGGGACATTACTCAATTCTAACTCATGGTACAGAAGAACACATCCTACCTGTTCACCAACATTATTGCCCAGAGCACCCTGACTTTGTGTTGGAGGATTCCTACTCAAGTTTGGACAATAATGGGACCACAGCCAGAGACCATTGGGTCACAACCAGATCATGTACTGCAACATATCGGAAGGATGCCAGCTGATAATTGGTACAAAGGTTATGGATTCAAAAATGGAAAATGGGGAGGGGAACTAGTATATTCCAAAAAATGATTGATTGAAGATTTGGAAAGATCAGATTTCACTTGTGCTCAAAAGAAGTGCTGCTAAATGTACACAGGCTAGATCTCTGTCTAAGTTTGCCTTCATTGAATGTAAAAACAAAGAGAAATATCTGAGAAGAGCTAGGATGTTTTAAGGTTATCATCATGCATTTATACATGGTTTTGTGTCCTAAGGTTGCATTTAAGATGTATTGCTGCGCTCCAACAAACTCTGTACTTTATCAAATGCCAATTATCATTACTGATTTCTCAGGTTACTGTAGTCATTAGGAAAATGGAAGTGACCACCTTTCTAACTAGGCTGCTTTTATTGCCCCATCTCTTCAGGTGCTGCCTAAAAGTGACATCACAATTTGACAAATTGCGGCATCATAACACAGGTTTATGACATCACTGGGTAAAACAGCAGGAGCAGGTTGGTAAGGTGGGACTTTTCCATTTATGTGCGGATATCACTGTTGATTCCCAGGATTGGAAAGAAAATATCAAACTAGTGTCTCTCTCAGTAGAATAGCGTTTGGTAAATTAGTAGTCTTCAAAGATGCCATGCTGACAGTTCTCGAGATCCAAACCCTCTGTTTAGCCAGAGAACAGGTATAGTATGGGCGGCATCATGCAAGCTTCCCAGTGCTGCCTATCCAGGGACTTGAAGCCTGACTTGGCAAGAAGCTCTCTGTGGGTCAGAAGATGGATAGTTCAGTTCCCAAGATCCTTTGTTCCTCTGCGGGACAATAATTCAGTGATGGTAGCTGTTGGACACTATGGGTGGGGGTTGGATTCTAAGAGGTAAACCAGGTGGGGGAGGCATAAGTAGTAGTGCTGTTTGCTCTAGCCCAGAGCCATCCAGCACCCACATAATGGTACTTCACTTTAAAATATGTATATATTTTCAGTATAGTGTGTTTTAAGGCTTGCCAGAGTGTGTCAGTGGCTCTTTACAACCTGAAATACATAGAATACATGTGTCTCACCCACTGTTTTCACTTAATCAGGAAAGCTGGAGATACCCTGGTCCCAGAGTCACTAAGGGAAGGGCCATTTCCAAATGTTGTCTCCACTGTAGTAAAGTTCAGCAACACGGCAGAAGAATGCAAAATGTGCTTTCTGTAAGACCCTCGGCATTAAATCTTAGTATTTTTGATAGGTGGAAAAAAAGAAGTAAAAACACAACAACAAAAGCCTCTTACCAAGATAAACAGACTTTCTTATTTACATAGAAAATGATACATTGTTGTCTATTGATTCCACTATATAGGCTTGTATGCTTCAGCTTAATAAACTGGCGATAAACAATGAAGTTGTTACAGCTTTGAAAATGTCTTCCTGCCAAGAATTAATATAATTTCCAACTAAGCCAAAGGGTCTGCTGTAACGGGCAAGACAAAACTGTGTGGCAGAAAGTGATTCACGTAGATACAACATGTAAATCTAATACAGGCCTGTGTAATATTAACACGCTGTACTGTGTGCGTGACTGTGTTTCGTCAGGGTTTTGAAATATTATGGTGCCTCCTTTAGGAAAAAATGCTTATGTTTCAGTGCCATCTTATGGTCAATGTGGGGAAATATTATTTGTCCAATAAACCAACTTCTGTTTCTTCTAAGGAGTAAAATAAGAATATTTCAGTTACACAAATATTTGTCCTACTGTATAAAACAGGAATTTATTTCTCGACCCTGTGTCTGCAGGGGATGGAAAAGGAGGTGCGAAACCTTTTTTAATTACTGTCATGAGGTCTTATGCATATTTGCTAATGTCCACTCCATGGATACATTTTCAGTCTTTGATACAATAATGATGAACATTTCAGGGATTTAATTCATCCCTGCTGGTGCAGAAAGATTTAAATTGCCCAGCCTTCCAGTAATGGAGACCATGCACTGGAGAATGACATGCAGCATTTGCACAGCTGCTCTTCCCTGGGGGCTCCACCATGGGTGAGGATAGCTTTACATTTTAGTTCAGGCTCCTTCTGAGCCCTGCCAGGAGATACTGTCTGGGAGGTGAGCTCAGTCTGTTTCTGTCCATGGGTGGTTCCCTTCAGAGAAGTCACTGCAAGCACATCGTGCTGCAACAAATGCCTTCCAAGTGGGCTTTCCCCCACCAGAGGCCCTTGTCCCCAAGATTCCATTGGTACAATCCACTGTGAGCCCAAGCCGAACCATTTATGGAGGACTGTTCACACATAGGACCTGATCCCGTAAGAATACCGTGACTTTGTTCCAGCGCCAGTTAAGTCAGTGGGAGTTTTGACATTGGCAGCAATTGACACTCACCGAGCTCCCCTGTACAGTCAGTGGGAGTTCCGTGTATGTCTGGCTTTCAGGATTATGTCCACTGACTAATTATTCTTCACAATGCTTCTTAGAGGAAAAGTATTGCAATCCCCATTATAGAAGTGGGGAAACTGACGCTCTAGACCCCATTGCCTCATTCTGAAAGATCCTTTTTTACTGTAGCTCAAATAACAGACTATGATAAAATGTCAGCTTCTGTATGGAAGGGTTCATTAGCACAGATCTAGTTAAAGGTAGAGCCAACTTCTGGCAATTGCCAAACCTGTGCCAGGGACCCAAAAGTCTTAATTCAACATAGGACTGTGAAGTCTGTTGCTTAGTAATAGTAATCAGTACTTGTAGATGTGCTTACCCTTAGGCAGAGGAGAATGAGTGGGGCAGAGCAGCTGCCAAAAATATTCTTGTGGCTATGGGGGTGGTGGTGTAAAATCCTAAAGCCAGCTCTGGTGAGGAGACTGTCACACTTCCACTGGCAATCTACATTGTTCTTTATCACCCTGATTCAACATCCATTGAAGCCCATGGAAAGACTCCATTTGTTTCAAGATTGAGCTTGATACATTTACGAAGGGGCTGGTGTGATGACATTGCCTGCAATATCATATGGCCTATCTGTGACTGCTATTAGCAAATATCTCCAACGGCTGGAGATGGGACACTAGATGGGGTGGGCTCTGAGATACTATAGAGAATTTTTTCCAGGTGTCTAGCCGGTGAGTCTTGCCCATATGCTCAGGGGCTAACAATGCCATATTGTGGGTCAGAAGGAATTTTCCCCAATCAGAGACCTGGGGTGGGGGGGTCACTTTTCTCTGTAGAGTGTGGCACAGGCCACTAGCTGGTTTGAACTTGAGTAAATGGTGGATTCTCTGTTACCTGAATTCTTTAAATCAAGATTTGAGGGCTTCAGTAACTCAGCCAGGTTATGAGCCTATTGCAGGAGTGGGTGGTGAGGTTCTATGTCCTGCGATGGGCAGGTCAGCCTAGATGATTAGGATGGTCTCTTCTGGCCTTAAAGACTACATTATAAGTCTCTGAGCGTTGAATCAGGCCCCACATGTGCAATCCTTTGACAGATACTAGCCTCAGTTGATTTCAGCACTGGTAAGCTTCTGCAGGGAACCTCTATTCTTAAATATCAACTTTCGTAAAAACTCTGCTCTCTGCTCTGCATCAATCAATACAAAGGCATTTAAAATGATTATTGGTCAAGTCTGCACGGCAGGGGTCTAATGACTGCCAGGCTCAAGTCTGCGGTACAGCATTAGGATCCTGCAGTGTATATATTAAGCTGCATTTAACAGAAATAATTTTTTTAAAAGATCCAAGCGGTAATCACCACATTACATTTCACAGGAAGGAGATATTTTTTGCCATTTTAGTATGCATATGCTCAATAAAAACAATTGCTTGTGTAAAGTACATATAATTTTCTTAATGCCTCAGTCAGTTAAATGCACTGCAAAAACATTTCATAAGAACAAGTGCTGCTCTCACTAGTACACCTTTGGCAGGGAGTTGTAGTGAGCTGTATGCATTTCAGCACCACTGGAGGCCCTTAGTCCTCAACTTCTTGCTTCCAGGGCAAGCATATATTTCACTGTAACGACTTGCTCTTGGGGGCTAGGCTTTTTTGATATGGCAAAGTAAAACAAAATAAAAATAGTTCAGATTCTGAGGTACAAGGCACAGGCTAATCCTCTGGGGCAAGGATATTTGTGATCCGTGTACTTTGCGGTGCTGGAGGATACTTCTGGGTAAAAGGGCTGGAATAGCAGAAAGGGGCTCTCAGTGTTCTGGATTTGGCAAGGCAGGATTCTTCCTGCATAGGCACTGCAGAAGGCAGCCATAAGGCTAACCTCAGAGGATCCTCTCAGGAGCCCAAGTGTAGGGGGAGCAGGCTAGGGCAGGTGATTTGACACAGGAGCATATCTGGAGCAGAGCCACAACACAGTGCTGGAGCGATTCCAAGCAGTGCTGCAGTCCGTAAGGCAGCCCAAGGAGGTTACCATAACTTAGCTGGGCTCCTTGGCCTAAATTATATAGAGGCAGCAGCCCAGCATGGGGTGCAAAGCGGCAGTGTTTAAACCTGAGTTTGTACAGATTGGTCCAAAGCTCATTTAAGTCAACGGGAATCTTCATTGACTCCAGTGGGCTCTAAAACAGGTCCATAGTGTTGTAAGTACTCTAAAATGCCCCAGCTCGCTGGTTAGTGTCTTATGTGAGAAATGGTGAGTAGCTCCCATTTCAAGTGACATTGGAAAAGCTCACTTTACAAAACAACAAAAACCCTTCTCATTTGTAATGCATTTCCAACGGTCATGCACAAGAGCTATTTTCCCAGCTTACTAGACTGTCACACAGCAAAAGCAGCATTTCAAATCTTCTGAAACTGACAACTCAGCTTTGTGGGGTTGTCTTAAAGTTGCTCCAGGAAGGCAGGCAATGGTTGGGGAGTGGGGGCAGAGAAGGAATTCAGGCCACAGAAAATAAGCAGAACCATACTGAAGGAGAAATAAGAAAGGTATGGCATTTTTGCTCCTTTAATCTTTGCAGTGAAGTCTGGGTGGGAGGTAGCCATCTCTTCTAGCCCCCTGCCAGGGCTGGATTAAGGCAGGGGCTTTAGGACTGCAGCCCAGGACCCTCGCTCAAGGGGGGGGGGGGCGCAAAAATAAATTACAGGAAGCGATCTCTGGGCCACTAAAAAGGGTGCTCAGGCAGGCTACCTGCCTGCCATAGTCCCCCATCTAGTTCCCCTTCGTTTGACCCTTGACCGCACTCCTGTCCCTGTTATTTCATTAGTTGTCCCCCGTACTCATTTGCCTTCCAGGTCCTGTGGATCCCCCTCTTAGGCTGGAGGGGGATCCTTTAGCAGCATCCACTTCCTGGATCCCAATAGGATAGTCCCACGCTGCTCCTTGAATCAGCTGGCTGCTGGGACGTCTCTGTGGCCCCTGGCAAGTGCAGGGGAGGCTGCTGTGTGCACTGCCCCTGCCCCCAGCACCATCCCTGCAGCTTGTGGGCACGGGCAGTGTATGGAGACCTGCTGTCCCCCTCCCCCCAAGGGGCACACAGAGACGTGCCAGCAGCCAGACGCTTCCAGGAGCAGTGTGGGGCTATGGCAGGCAGGCAGGCAGCCTGACCCCTGCTGCACCGCCAGCCGGGAACCATTTGTGGTAAGCGCCTCCCAGCCGGAGCCTGCACCTCGCACCCCCTCCTGCATCCCAACCCCCTACCCCAGCTCAGAATCCCCTCCTGCACCCAAACTCCACCCCCTCTCCTGCCCCAGACCCCACACCTCCTCCTGCATCCCAATCCCCTGCCTCAGCCCCCTCCTGCACCAAACTCCCTCCCAGGAAAAAGACTTATTTTCCATGTAGATTGCAGAAATGGGTGGGGGGAAGCTTAGAGAGCACAGAACGTGCTGTAAGCACAATTTACTATTTCCTGAAGCTTACCAATTCCTTCCCCTTCCCCTTACATGGTACACTATGTGGCTACCTTTTGGTTATGCATAACAGACATGGAAAACCAAGGGTGAAAATGATGAAAGAGCATGTACAAACTACAAGAGCTTTCAGCCGGCTATTTGTTACCAAAGCAGCAGTTGCTGTGGTAACTCATCACATGGCACTTGTGGCATCTGAGAGCTACTGTACATGACACGTTTTTAAAGAAAAATACAGATGTGCTCTCAGAGAACACTGCTTCTTAGTGTCACAAAATAATATGGTTTAAGTCACATGTTCTCTTTAAATGAAATACATTTGGGGTGCTGCACACTTTGAAAAATATTTCCCTCTATGTTAAGAAAGGGGAAGCGTTGCATTTGAAGTTGGATGGGAAGGGGTTGGAGTCAGGGAGTCAGTGCTGTGATGTGACAATAGCTCCTATGGCATTTGGAAGAGCTATCTGCCCCTGATCAAAGCCCATTTAAAATCAACTGGGATCTTTCCATTGACTTCCGTGGCTTTGGATCAGGCCTCAAGAACACACAGAAATGGTGACTCATGAGGATACTGCCTGTGTGAATTTCAGGGGTTGCCCACATATTTGCGTATGATTCTTCTCTGCCAAACCACCCTCTCCCCAACCCTCACCTCGCTTATACTGCAGTATCATCTAGGGATTAGAGCTAAAGACTAGTTCTCAAGATTTTCAA